TAATATAATTTTGAGTTAAAGAAGGAAGTTTTGGTTTTAAGTAAGTGAAACAAACAAATTATAATTTAAGTTTTTTTTAAAAAAAAGGAACATTCAGTTTTGTGAAACACAATTTCCTATCAACCTGGATATATAATTAAGTTTGTTTCAATAAATTTTGCATGGGATAGGGCTGAGTAGGATACAAAGGAGTGTAAGGTTATCAAACTGGATATAAAGATTTAGGTGATAGTTTACTAGATAGCCCGGCCATTTCTCTTTCTCATGTGCCTCTCTCTTCACTGCACACATATGCCATCTTCCAATGTGTATTACTGTAAGATGGCTTAATTCTTTATAGATGCATTTGTTTCCTGTCTTAAAAACTGAAACAGTGTTAGTATTTGTTGTTAGAAGATTACGTTCTAGTAATCTGTTGTTTATCATACATTTCAGAGTGTCAGTGGTGTTGTGGAAAGCATGAAGGTTGTCACATCGGAAAACTCTGAACGTGTTGCTCGTTATGCTTTTGAGTATGCTAAGAAGAATGGCCGTAAGAAGGTGACAACTATCCACAAGGCAAACATTATGTAAGATTCTTAGATTATCAGTTCTGTGATCTTCCATATAACATGATTTTTTCTTTAGCACTAAGTAGAAACCAGTCATGGAGTAGCAGAATAACGAGTCAAATCTCGGTGTGTAAAGACTTCATTGATGGCAGAAAATGAGGATTTTCATTTCTGAAATTTGTACTATTCCGCTCCTATTACTGCAGTGTCAAAATTTTTGAAGTTTGTGTTTAATTTCAGGAAGCTCCCCCCCCTATTACTGCAGTTTCAAAATTTTCGAAGTTTGTGTTTAATTTCAGGAAGCTCTCTGATGGTCTGTTTCTTGAGACATCCCGCAAGATAGCAAGTGAATACCCAGATATTGAACACAATGACATGATCATTGACAACTGCTGCATGCAGCTGGTCTCGAAGCCACATCAGTTTGATGTAATGCTCATGACAAACCTGTATGGCACAATTGTGTCTAATGTGGTGTGTGGTCTTGTGGGTGGTGCAGGACTTCTCTCTGGCAAGAATTACGGCGATCATGTGAGTTGAAAATGAAATGTTGACTTGCCAAGAACAATACTTGTATCAGCCAGTTTTTATAAGATTGCCGAAGACTGAATCCAAGATGATCCAAGGAAAAGTGCATGTCAGTCTGGGACTGTAACCAAAACATGATAGGAGTTTATCTGAAAGATCAGCTTCCTCATATATTGCTCTTTGAAAGAAAGATAATGACCAAGTGGTACATCAGACTGTTTCAGAGATTCAAAACGCCACAATTCTAAATTCTGTGATAATCTTGCTGGTCAAATTTACCAGGCATCAAAATTGACCACTTTGAAATACAGGGTGGTTGTAGTGCAGGCTCCTTATTATTCATTAGTTATTTTGAGGGCAGTTGTGCCCTTCTAAGTAAAATGATGCAATTGAAATTTCAAATTGAAATCCCCAGCAGAAAATCCTTCTACAGCACAGTATAGACTGGGAACTTTATTGCCCTGCTTTGAAGGGTTAAAGGCATTATTTTTGGTGGAAATTATGCAACAATAGCATTTAATCTTTCAGTGTTCAGTTTGTATTGGTTCCATTTGTTTCCGCATTAAGTTTCCTCTATTTAAGGTTTTTCTCAATGTAAAATTAAAAATTTGGTGTTTCCCAGAGGTACAACAGTTTGTTTGTTTCTACAGTATGCCATCTTTGAGCCAGGGACACGCAACACTGGAACAGCCATTGCAGGAAAAAACATTGCGAACCCTATTGCCATGCTGAATGCATCAGCTGACATGTTGGAACACCTTGGGCACCACTACCATGCAAACATGATTCATAAAGCAGTTGACAGGACTGTCAATGAGGATCATATTCACACGCCAGGTATGGAATGTACACTTGCAAAATTAATTTGGAAGTATGAATCATGCTTGCTAAAGATATGCAGACATAACTAACAAATTAATGCTAATAAAGTTGTCAGACCAAATGCATTGAACTTGGTTACATAACCAGGAGAATACACTAGGAAATATGGATTCATGTTTTACAGAACTAAGAAAGTTCATTAATATAATGGACAATCCTGAAGGGAAATGTGCTAATGAGATGTAAATAAAATTATGTTAATTGGGAAAAATGGCATTATGTCTGCTGTCACACGTGCAGATCGAGACTCCAGTGTCGTGATCCCACACACAGTCATGTAACAATTGTAAAAACATATCACTGTAACATTTGTCAACTAACGTTGCATTATGTGGAAGTAAAACGAGTGGTTCTGCCTGAAGTGTACACATTCTTGGCAGTCATGTGGTAGTGAAACTATAGTTGTAGCTCATAGTACAGCTCGGAGGATGACGTATTTGAGGATATGCAGTAGATCAGTATTGATTATGATGCAAGGGCAGCCCATTCTATTTCAGTTATAATTTAAATTAGCTTGAGGAAGAACAAGTGCAGTTCCACCAACCTCTGCACTATAATGATGGTGTAAGTGCCAAGATGAAATACACCATGAGGCAGAGAAAATTCTGTTTCAAAACCTTCATTAGCCTCTGGGTCTTGTTGGGTTAGAACACATCATCATTTCTATCACGGGTAGTTGCACTGTCACTACTTCCGAATTCAAACTTAGCAAAGTTTCTTTCTGTGGATCTTCAAAGTTCAGTACAACCATCAGTTTGTGTCATATCACTTTAAAGATAGTTACACATAAAATGTTCTTATAAGATTGTGTTTGGCTATTGGTTTAACTAGCAGCCACCTGGTCAGTGTAACATTTTGCTTGGATATTTGACAGCAGTGCCTCAGTATCAGTACCTAAGCCAGGGATATCATAGTGCACATAGGTTATTACATAGATTGTGTAAAAAAAACAGAACTCATGCGTCACTGTCCTCGGCAGCATACTGTTACTGAAGACATGTAGTGTTGTAGAATGTGGCTAAATGAGATGTGCTGGCACTGGAAGTGTCAATAGATGTATTACGTACCTCAGTTATGGAATTTGTCACGTTTCTAGTAGAGTATCATACACATCAAAAATTTATTAATCGTGTTAACAGATTTGGGAGGCCAAGCAACAAGCATTGATGTGGTGCAGAATATCATCAAATACCTTCAAGAGACTACAAAAACTTCCAACTGGTAATTCAACAGCACTTTGCTAGAACACATGTTAATTTCGTTGCTTTGCTTTTTCATGTTGAGAAGATTTATCTCATGTTATTGAATCATCTTGTGTTTCAAATTAAGTTGTTGATATTGATTAGTATGCATGTGTAAATAAGGTTACCAAGTTATATAAATGAATTATAGTTACTACTTCTCAGAATGAAAGTAAACATCCTGTGCAAAAATTATGTTATTTGATAGCATTGTCTGCTTGTATGCTGTCTACAATTGGTTGTAGGTTTATTTTGTGTTTACCTGTGTTTTAAGTCCCGCGCCGTAGCCGCGCGGTCTGAGGCATCATGCTTCGGACCGGCGATACGGAATGCGAGCTGGTTCGAGTCTCGGGGGAGAAGAAATTTTCTCATGAGCTTTCGACCGGTGTATGGGACCGGTGCCAACCCAGCATCGTGAGGAAATTGGGGAGCTACAATGAGTAGCGTAATCCGGTCAGGAAAGCTAGCAGTGGCTGGGGGTTTGTCATGCTGACCACACATCACCCTATATCTGGTTGGATGATCGTTCACCTCTGCTTAGGCATGTGAACGTGAGGCCAGCAGTCAAAGTCGGCTTTGGCTCTCTGGAGCTGTTATGCCACGGATTTAATTTTAATTAATTTTTTACCTGTGTTTAAGGGTAGGTATTTTTCCAACTTTAGTACCTGAGGATCATCTTAAATTATTACTGATAAAATGCTTCCATTAGGGTTAACATTTTTATATCACCAGTCAAGTTTTGCAAGCAGTGTATTTTTCCATTTAGTGTAGTAATTAATTACATCAGCTGAAGCATAGGCGAGAGTGAACATGTAGGATTTGAGGTTTTGAGTCTGAAGATGGCCGTCTTCTGGGTTGTTGCACCATGTAGTCTGGTAGAAGTTTACCAACGTTTCAGAGGTGCTTGCCGCCTCCATCATCGCTCTGAGTGAACATTCTTACGGAGAAATGCATATTCTGTGTGAGGAGGTAGTGAGGGAATTAAATTAAGTCCCCAACACATCTTTTACATTCTCAGGAAAGGGGAGTGTGAACATATGTTTTAGCATGCTGCTGAAGTCATATGTAAATTATTCTGTTGTGCGAAGACATATTACTAAGGCACATAACACAGGATTCTTAATTTGACAAAGTCATTTTTTCTCTTCTCGTGTTAGAACTCCTGATTTTAGAGGGTTATCTTAGTCTCAAGCTGGGAGAGATTTGTCAGGAAGCAGTCATAGCCACTTGACCACCCCCACCCCCTCCCCGGTGACATTTTGAAGAATGGTTGATGAATGTTCCATGAATGAACTTCTGTAAATGTGAACCAAGTGATTTTGGATAGGAAGTCAGTCATTTATATTACTGCCGAGTTTAATCTACTCTAGGACATCACATTGAATGGGATAACCTTCATATATTATGTTAAAATTAGTTTTACATTATTATAGATATGATTAGTACTTTCTCACCTGATGATGTGTTTCATTTATATAATTTTGGTAACCTTGTTTGTATTGAGACCTGGCATGTACAAATTGAAGTTGCTTTTATGCATGTTCTTAATTATTCCTATCACAGCTATATTGTTACTTTGTGTTAGTCTGTAATATTAGTATTATTTTGCAATGTTGTTAACTACAATGAACTGATAATTGGAATGAGCATATTTGCTACAAATGCAGAGTACAGACTGGACATCTGGGATTTGATTGTTTGCAGCAGTGTTCATTCTGGAGTGTGTACAGCCTGAGTCATTTCCCTAGTGATGTATTCACTCAGAGCCTAATAACTCCTCGATCTGTTGCCAGAGAAACACATGAAAGTACTTTGTAGCTAGAGCAGTATTATTGTGTTTATGTATGTATTATTAGTGGGTCAGAAACTTCATTGTGATTGTTTTAGATTTTATTATAAGAATACTGTGTTGGACATTGTTCTGAAAAAGAACTCCGAAGATGTTGTAGATATGCTTTCCATCAGATGCTGTCATCCATGTTTACAGAAGGTAAAACGTAATGACAGCCTTCTAAGGTATTGCACTATGTAGTCCTGTAGACATTTCAGAGTTGTCTATTGCTTCAGTCATCAGAGTAATTGCTCTGATAATGAAAATAGTACACACGTCTGAAACATTAATTAAATCATAAAGACTACATGGCATGATATCTCAGAAGGCTGTCACCTCCATACACACTGCCATGAGAACCTTCAATCTCACAATAATTACACAGTTCAATTATATGTATTCAAAGCTTCATTGACACTTACAAGCTTTTAGATATAAGATAAAGGTTTTGTGCTGTTTTGGCTTTCAATAAAAAGTTTGTAGTTTTAAGTGATGCATCCTGTTGCATGTTGATTGTTAGTTTGACAGTCCATATACGCAACAATTTGTTATAGCCTCGATATTTGTTAAGACCGCTACATGTTTTGGCCTTAATTGTTCATGTTCAAGTGGTTCTCTTTAAGTGCTCAGAACCAGTTGATATGACTGATAAATTCTGTGCACATTTGAAGTGGGTAACGTTCACAATTATAATTATTTGTTCAAAATAATTGTAAAGAAGTTGTACTGATCCAGTTATATGTAATGTAATTAGAACAACGATTTGTATGAAGCCACATCTGATATGGAGACCTGTTTCAGAACCTTCCACCAAGCACTGTAATATATGGTATTTTTTGGATATCGATTTGATTTCATTGTGTGTGTTCAGTTTATGTTATTGCAGAAGTTGTCTAACTTTCATGCGATATGTAATTTTACATGACCTAACCGGCATTGTGTGAGGTTTGTACTGTGTTGGCATGGTTTTGCTTCTTCAATACAAATAAGGCAATATGGTGAGTGCAGAAAACAGACCGTTTAATATTATAACTCATTCATTTATGTATAATAGTTTAGGCATGTTTTGGAATGACATTTATGGTTGTTTCATGTACTCATAGTGATGTTTCATCAAGTGCAAGAATTTCTTAAAATTGAACATCTCAGTGTGATGATTATTAAAGAGAAGGATTATGGGGAAGTACCATCCCATCATTAACGTAGAAGAATTCAGGAAAGCAGCAGAAACATCTGTTGACACAACCAGTGCACTGACCAGCATTTGCGCTTGGTACTTTCTATGTACATGTCAGTTTTAATGCCGCTTAAGCTAATGCTACTTACCATTGCCTTGCTGCTCACTTGTATGTATGAACAAAATTATTGTTAGCATTATTCATTACTGAAATCAAAGTTTCAGTATACAATTTGTTATTAAAGTATAATCAAGGAGGATTATCTGATGAGGAAGGAGAAAAAGTAAACATGAAATACTGTTGATCAGAATATTTCTACAGCAAGGATATAAAATTATCATAAACTTCAGTTAGTTAATAATGAATGAACAAGAATGCAGGTTTGTGGTGTTACTGTTAAATATCTGGCCTGAAGAATTACCTACATTTCCAAAATTCATGTTATTTGGATTTTTGACTTCATTCCTCAGAATTCACTGGAATATCATTCCACATCATTATGTAGGAAATTGTTCCTTCACTGAACCTTGAGATATTTTAACCTTTTGTTATAGACAGTATGGTATTTCACATGACCCTTTCTTAAAATCACCGAATGGTTGAGCCTTGTTATGTGAAATGTTCATTTTACTCAAAGAGTTTCAGTTCAACAGTACTTTTTGTGTTCTTATTAAAACTTAGAACTTTGGAATTTCAAAAATTGCAAGACATTCATATAATATATTTAGAAATTAATTTTTTTTCTAGCTTTTGCTGCCCCCTTTCTTACGCTGTTTCTTCTCTTTTCAGATTTACAACATTATGTATTATCTGTTCAAAAGCTGCTGTGGTCTCACAGCCCCATGTAGACATATGAACTGTACTATAGTAGTGCTGGTGGTGGTGGTTCTATTTCTTTCCTCTTAGGAGATAAAGCCGAGTTTTTGCCAATCACATATATACAACAGTAACTGTTTACAATATACCAGCTTTTCATGCTTTGTTCACGTCATGTACTTTTGTATGTTATGCGGAAAAAGAGTTGCATGACTGCATGAATTTGTAATTTTCTTCAGATGGGTTCTGAAATATAATTTTCAATATCCTGTTGTATTATAAAATAGCCATGTGTTTTTGTAGGTTAGTATGGGACTGTAAGCTTGGTACATAATAACATACATGTATTTTTACTGTTACTATTATTGTTGTTACAATGTAACCTTTAGAATGGCATTTCCAGTCATCTGTGCATGAAGAGATAACTTCATAATAATCATGGAGTGCCAAGACAGTGAAATTCGACAGTTGGAATAACAGGAAAGCGAATTTTCTCCTCCACTGATAGTAATTTTCTTTACTTTTTCCTGGCCTTTCGGTTTGCATGTAAGTGGTCTTCCGGGACGCATTGGTATCTACAGTTCCATGTGGCATCACACCCCAGAAGACCAGCACTGGGAAAACCTGTTTTGGCACATCCAGTGCTTTAGTTGTCTATGAAGCTGCTATGATGTTCTGAAAGTGCATAATGTTTTGGATATATATTGTATTTAATGGTAATGGTTTATAATTTCACACATAAGAAAACCATTTGTGAAATGAGCTGTAATTTATGTATTTGCAAGATTGTTACAGAAAGCAAATGTTTATGTGGTGGAGAGAGGATGATGTCATGGAATGTTTAAAAAAAAAGATAAAATATTCCATCTGTGAGTGCTACTGTTTACACTGTCCCTGTAGTAAACGCAGATATCATAACATTATGGATTGTGTGTCATATCCCCGTGTTGTCTTTTTTCTCCATATGAGGCCAGATTACTATCTTTAGCCTCCCTGCTGTTTTTTAGGCATGTTTCCAACCCAGCTGACTTATTACAATTGCTCAGTCAAACTGTTTGGTCATCCATTTGTTTGTCCATGTATATGGAATAACAATGGATAAACCAATTTTTATTAAATTTTATAATGAGAAATTGTCCAGGCAAATCGATATTCTTGTAGAACATCCAGGTTTAATGACTAATTTACATACAAGCATTTGATCTCGATATAATTTTGTGATGCTAGGTCATTCATTTTGCATTAAACCAAACGCTTCAATTTTGGCAGAAGACTGCAATAAAGAACGAAAGAAAATCATTATTTAGTGAGTCCTTGATAATGATTCTTTTTTTTGTGTGTGTAATGTTATAAATCTGAAGATAGGTTTGCACATATGCAATCAGTCGTATAGTTCTATCATTTCTCGGTATGTTGGCAACCCTGTGAGCTTATATTAAAGTTGTTCCATATGTCTGTCCATCAGTACACAAGAAGCAACTCAGTTTTGATCAGCTTCAGTATGGAAGAACTTTAGAAAAAATCATTGAACCATTTTAATTTAAAATGGACAGTTTTAACAACAACTTTACATTAGATTCATAAATAGTTTTTGAGCTTGTCTGCCTAATGCACTTACTGAGTGTATGCTATATAATTTTACAATATTGTTTGGTTTTATACAGAGAGTAGGATATTTATGAGTAGTTTCAGAGGGGAAATTAAGTGTTTTGGAAATAAAATGAATACAGTTTTTAGGCCAGTACCTCATAACATTTCCCAGATGCTGTCTAGTACATTTCTGTAAGTCATTTACTATTCCATTAGATTAAGATGAAAGGTTTAAAGAATGGTGACGTGAAAGCTTATATGCATATACTCATCAATGGACCTTGATATTCGTTTTCTAATTCTTTATTTGTTGTATTACACAAGATTTATTGGGTTACTGTATCGGCTAAGTGTTAGGACAGACTGAGCTCTGGCCAGTGGATACACATTGGATTAATGTATCGGCTAAGTGTTAGGACACAGACTGAGCTCTGGCCAGTGGATACACACCACATCATTTCAAATTCTTCATGATGTTTAGTTTTCTGTTGCAACAGTTGAAATGTTGCACAAATGTGGATGGGAACCCCATGAAGAGCATAAGGATTATAGAAGAAGAAAATTTTAGGTCATGTAAGGTACCCAAAGTGAATGTAGGTAATTTTTTGAGTGCCATGTTTTTATGACTATTTTTCTGTAGGCCTGGCTCCAGGCTTTGACAACAGTCTTGGAGGTAAGGACATTCTGCTGTGAGATGATGCTAAAGACAAGAAGGTAAAAAATAATGCAATTGTGAAGTCTGGAATTTGTAAGTGCAATCATTTTACTTTTTTCCAAAGGTCCCATGCCATTTCCTGATAGTTGAGATGCTGGTTGCATATTCTTTGATGAAAAAGTTAGTAGGTAGAGAAAGGACAAACAATTTATATTAAGTGTGAGTTTTTACTTGATAGTGTTTATTAGGCTCTAAAGGGGTGGACTTTGTGTAATATATATTTGGGCAGGGGGCTCACACACAAATTGCATCTGCATTTTGCCTGTGGGTTTTATATCATTCTCAGAATAAAAAGCAGTTATTTTACTTAGCATTGGTCAAATGCTGTGATTTTGTAGTAGGAATTGAACCTCTGAATGTTTAGTTGAATTTCAGTTTCAAAGGGTTAATTTAAGTATGTTATATTCATGAAAGTGCTGTTGTCCACACTTGATGCTCTGGTTTGACTGCAAATAGTTCTGAGGACTGCTGAAAAATGTGTGAAATTTTTTTCTTCTGCCATTCAAGGTTAGGCAAGAAACATGTCCAACATTTTTGAGGACAACCATTATTAGGCAACGTACAGTTACAAGATAGAATGTGTTGAAAGAGTTTTATCTTCTATTGCTTTGTATGGGTATGATGCATGTTATCTCAAATGATGGGAGGAACGATGAAGGAATAAGCCTATGTACATGGCACTGAGAGAAATATATGGTCCTGAGGAATTAAGTTACAGGAAGCTGCAGAAAACTGCATTATGAAAAGCCTAATAATTTGTACAACTTCGACCATCTGTGTTTCAACTCCCAAAGGAAATACGTACTATTAAAAATTGCCATATCATATGCAAATGTCACATTTGATGACCTTTGCTTTTGCACTTTGCTTCATAGTGCAATCATTGAGATGTAAGAAATGGAAGGTATTTTAAACGTACGAGTTTTAAGTATTAGGAATTATATTATGCTATAATTATGTCAGCTACAGTTATTTAGGGTGTAGTTAAACTACGTACAGTTATTGTTAAAATTCTGTAATAGTTCGCAATTTATTTATAGATAAAATATTACGCGATTGGTATTGTTTTTGTTTCAGGAGATAACTTGTAACCTCTTTGGCATGTATTTCAACAACCAGCTGTTTTAGTAGTTGGTGGTTCCGGTACGACGGTGGTTGGATTAATTGTGATTTTACCAAGTTATGAAGCCGGACTCAGTTTTTCCGGGATAGAGGATTAAAATGTACTTCACATATGGCGTTTTAAACTTCGTAAAAATGTAGCTGGTTTATTATTTATTAACATTTAACGAGAGCCCAATGGGAAACAACGGTTCGAAATTCGTTAAAAAAATCGTGTCCCCTTTCAGCAACACAAATAGTAGCGACGATACTCGGAGTATTGTGAAATCAAATAGCCCAATCATTGTAATTTCAAGAAAAGGGTTAGTTTATTTGAGATATTGTTAAATGAATTTTAATTAAGGTTTTACTATGTTTAATACTTAATGTGGTAAATTGCTGTTTGTATGACTTCCTGAACACATTTTCTGTTGTATTTTACAAACTGTACTTTCTTATTTGTGATCACAGTGACAGTCTTTCTGGTCTCTTTACAATAGACTTGCCTGTAGAAGTAGAACTAAAGTATCATCATCACATTACTGGGCTTACTTTTGTTTTCCCCATTCTGTTTGGTAGTAATGACACCTGACTGCGACTTGGATGCAAAGCCACATCTATTTAAATGGGTTATGTGATTGGGAAGCTGATATTGGTGATCCTTTGTGGAACTCGAAGTATAGCTGGTCAGTGGTTTAAAGTGTACCATCATGGCAGTAGAAATAAAATCACCATATTCAAATAACAGCACCAATTCAAATTGGGGCATTATAAAACATGGAGTTGCTCAAGGTTCAATACATGGTCCTCTACTTTTCCTCATCTATATCAATGATTCTGCCAACCAAGTCTAAACCCTTGCTGCTTGCAGATGATGCTAATATTATTATTTCACATAGAGAAATTGACTTGTTTCTAAATCTGCATGAATACATTTGTTACCTTGAACAACTGGATTAAATCCAATATTTTTATTTTATTTAGTGTTCTGTCTGACGACAGGTCCATATGAACAGGATCCTTCCATCCTTTTCTCGGACTGGGACCTGTTCATATACGTTCTTGGCAGATGATCCAGAAGTGGTTTGCCATTGCCTTCTTCTGGGTGTGAATGGAGTAATTGTTGGGATGCCACGGAGGAAAACTCCGTGTTGCCTAGACCAAGGCCTTGCCCAACACAAGTTATAAATGCGGGCACCGCCGGGAATCGAACCCGAAACCCCAGGATTACAAGGCCAGCGTTACGCCAGGGAAGCTTAGGTCCTTCGTAAGTGACATCTTTTGATTTGTGACCTTAATGTTCTGACCTTCGAAACCGCACGTTATAGCTGTCGGAATCATAATTTGTGATGGACAACATAGAAACATTTCAAACAAAGTAAAATATCCATAATACAAGTTCGCGATACTGATATAACCTTCATAAGTTTCATTGAACATTTGCTTATTTATTTAGTATGCTCAGCTTTTTCTTCTATCCTTTGTAGCTATTGGCCAAAGAAAAGGAAATGTATTGTGTTGCATACTATGATACTGGTTTTGAACTAGTTGTATAATACCATTGGATTGTTCAGTACTTCTACTGCGATATGATTCTGGCCAGCAAGCAGAATGCATAAGTGGACTAAATTTCAAATTAGAAGGATTAGAAGTGATTGTGTTGCATTTTTTTTAGATCAATGTTCTTTGATGAAGATGGAGACTTGGCACATGAATTTTATATTGAAGTACCACCAACAAGAAAAGGATGCAAAGCCACAATGAAGAAAGTTCTCCATAATCTTATTCCACAGGTAAGAAGAATGTCGAATGCTCAGTTAACACTTGTCAGGTCCTGAAATGTTCTATAGTCTTTAAAGAACACGCAGTATCTTTGTTAAAGTGTCGATGTAGTAGAAACGAAAATAGCATGGCGTCCACATCACATCTGTATGCTGTCAGTGCTTCCAGTATTCATGAAGTGCAAGTTTAAATTTATATATACTGGGTCTACAATTTATGAGGCTGCGGTCGTGCTTGCATTGCGTGGTCGGCTGGCGCTCTGTTGATGTGGGCGGGAGTTGCGCGCGTTCTTCCGGTGGGTGACCGGCGAATCAGTTTCAGTGCCGCTAGTAACAGCAAACTACGAATATTTCTTGTCACTAATACATGTTATTACATTAATTGTTCTTACCTTAAATTACAAAAGATGTTCAAGGTGACTTTCTTGTGCCTCATAAATTGTAGACCCGGTATGTATGTATATATATATATATGCAGTATGCATTTTGGTAACTGCTCTGTATCCAGTACATACGGTGTGCAGATTTGACCTATTTATGTAAGTCTTCCAGATGCAAAATTCATTTTATCTCCACTTTCTTCCATCCCTCCAAAAATGGGAAAGTCATCTAACTTAACTCCAGGGACCCACAAATTCATCGCTGGTTTCTTAGATGCTTCTCATTTTGACCCTGCCTGTCACTTTGGAGGTCATTAGTTGAACCCTAGTGACCATGAGCAGATTACTGCAATTTATTCAAGGTATGGGATTGCTGCAGGGGCAGTTGGATGGCAATCCTTTTGTATTTTATATTATTTTATGTTCTTTCAGGTGCAGGGGCAGTTGGATGCCAGTCCTTTTATATTTTATATTATTTTATGTTCTTTCAGGGAGAAGTTGCCCATCAGTACCCTCGCTTGCATGTAGACTTCCCCATCATTCTTCATCATGTCTGAGGTTTGGATTCGATCGCCTGTGACGTGTGCTGTAATGTCTGGAGCATATCACCCTTGCTGTACATTGCAAATATACATAGAACTGCAGGACCTCACATTACAACCATTTGTTTGAAGCATAGATCTTTATATTTGGCTTTACTTACACTGTATATTCATCCACTGCTTACGAAACACGTGTCGTGAAGTGTTCTGTTAAATATGAGAGTGTTAATGTATGGAATTACCTATTTAAATATAACAGTAGGAGGTAATATGATGATGGAATAGTGTTTACTTTTATTGGAGTTTAACATTTGTTAAATATGTCTATATGTTAATAATTGTGGCTCATTTTCAACATATTATAGTATCACACTTTTTGTTGTTATGAAAGAAAAGCACACAGTGGAATATAAATTTGTGCTGGCTTGACTTTCACAAACATTTAAGTAAATACAGTTCAGATGACTCAATGAGATTAAATTTCAGATTTGAACATTAAACTGATATAATACTGTATTAAAGATGTTTTTGAATAATGTGGAGATACAATGAGCAACACGATTAAAAGCAGGAAAAAAAAGTTTAATTTATTATACAAAGGCTGTTCAGTAACATAAAGAAGTGTGTTACACTTGTATTTATTGTAGTGGCATGTCCAACAGAAGAGCTGATGGCATATTTTTCCACTTAAGCAACAGAGCAATGAGTCAGTATTTTTCATTGATACACATCCTAATTGATTCCCATGAAGAAGAAATCAGCTGAGTGCTTGTTCATAGCAAAAGTGATCCTTCTCCAGGGTAATGCCCATCCCAATACATCCTGTGTTCCAGTGAATCCTCTGAAGCAGTTTTGCCGGTAATGTTTGAGCCCTGTCTCCTGTCCGTGGGAATGAAACAGTTAATGTATCACTGGGACAACTGTCTCGGTGGAAAATGGACTGTGTCTTTTACTGCCTGTTCTGGATATGTCAGAGTAATAAATCTGAGTGTATCACACCCACCCCAAGATGTTATTTTGTAATATACGTTATGATTCCATGTATGTTTTAGTGTGCACCACTAGTTGTTATTGCAACACTTATTGTAATCAAACCTCGTTACAGTTAGGATACTGTAATATGGAAAACAAAATTCTTTTTGGGCCTGCAAAATTAGTTATCTGCTTTAAGTAAGAAGAAGGAATATTGGAGGATGTGTAATTCTTCTTGGCACTACAGTTCAATGTTGAACACTGGCCTCTTCAATCTTTTGCCTCCATTCCGAGGCTTAACTTGAAGTTTTGGCCGGTCCCAATTTGAAAGCGTCAGGAACTTGCTTGTTTGCCCTTGCAAGACTTAGCTGTAAAAACGTTGCCTGGGAGTCATGACTTGGACATGCATGCATTGGACTTGGTAGGAATGAATGGCATTTCCAGAGTTTTTAATGATACATATCTGCCAGCAGGATATGTACTGTCGAGACCACATGGAGGACACGTAATTACAACAACAAAATTAGAGTAAGATATATTTTTCTATTATATTTGTGTCATTTTGTCAGGGAGTGTTATTCAAACTGGAATGCTGTTGGTATCAGAGAACACTAGGCAACATTTTGAGTCATTTCATTCTGAAGCTATCAAGATATTGGCACGTTAGACAATTTTCTGAACTTCGAGGAATATCATCAGAATGGTAAATTTAACAGGAGTTGTGAATTTTATTTAAATAATACAGTTTTCTATTAGGTAATCCTGATGTGGGAGTCAGTGGCTTCATACATTTCCCATTTGATGCAAATTTAAATAACATGCCAATAAAAATTATGAATGGTACAATGGGGAAAACACACAGCTTTTATGCTGTAAGTTGTGTAGTAATTTGTATTAAAAGATACAAAAATAAGTTTGCCTGTTTGTAACTCTGGGCTGATGCTTCTAACCCACCAAGTCCCTTGTTAAATGGTATCTAACATAGTCCTGTGCAAGATATGAACTCAGAACTACACAGATTTTTGTAATTGACTTGTAGGCACTGTTTATGATTTCAGATACACTACTTATTTTTTCTGAATAATTGTACAAAAGTCCATTTGATGTCTGTTTATGCAGTTCTATACTACAACACCCAAAAGACCAGTAAAGTGCTTGATAAACATAATAATTAATTCTTGTGATAAACCCATGTTTGTTCATTAGAAGGGATTTGCTGTTAAATCCGAGGCTAGTGCTACACAGGCTATGTAAGAGACCTCTGTGTCAAGAATAATAGAATATTTTTCATGGTTGTGCTGTCTTTTAATTTGTGAATTTAATAGGATATAAAACCAGTACCTAAGCGCTGGCCAAATCTTGACATAGTGACTCAGCCAGAAACTGCCTTGTCAGTAGTTGGTTTACTGGAAGGGAAGTGGTTAATTCTGTGGCATCCAAAGTAGTCTGCTGAGGTAGTGTTTACTTACTGTTTTCTGCCTAGCTAACTACTGGTCTAGATAAATTCAGAATTGTTCAGTCCCTTTTATATGAAAGTTCTGTCTCAAAGTGAATTCATATCATTCAGTAAGAATTTAGGTAATATCAAAACCAAATGTTTTTGCTTTATATTTGGTAATATTCCCCATGACTAACTCTTACATGCTTTGTGATTGTGGAAGGTTAGATTTCTTGTGGTAATGAAAGTCTAGAGAATAATTCTGGATGCTGTCATAGTATTGTCTGCAGGAACTGAGGAAAATATTGCTATTTGGCTTTACTGTGTTAAAAGCTGTTAGAATTCAATGCTTCTTCCACTTGATGATTGAGAGTAAGTATGCTTCCCAATTTCAATTGCCACTGTGCTTCCTCAAACCACTACATTTTGTTAAGTGGCTCTTCCCCCATGTCCTCAGGTGAACCTACAAAGTTGGGCCCAGTAGAAGGAGCCCATCTTGATCTGGGCTGTTTTTTCTGGGTTGTTGCGCTGTGAAGTCTGGCAGAAGTATACCTACATTTCTGAGGTACTTGCTACTCTGGTGACAGAGGTAGCAACTGGTAAAACGTTAGCAGACTATATGGCCCTACAACCCAGAACACAGCCATCTTCAACTGAAGTTTTTGAATTAGACTAAATATCATCAGACTTTTTAGATTCTTGTTGCAGAAATATACAGTTCTTTAAAGAATCAAGGACTAGGCCATAAAAGTACTGAAGATGATTTCTAGGATGTTGCGCCATGCAGTATACAGGTAGGACTCAGTTTAAGCCGGAGTTAGGTTTGTGAGATTTCCGACGTAAAATGAAGCGGCGTAAATTGAAGCAAAAATATAATGGGAACATATGTAAATACATTTGGCCCCGTTCCAAGATTTTCAGTAATCAACACAAAATACATGAAAAATTTTGACGTAAATACGTCTATACGGAAGGGTCATTCGGCAAAATATCACAAGTACTTATCTTATATAAGAATTATTACATTACAGAGACGTATTTACGTCAGATTCAACGAAACTTTTTTATTTTATGAAATTTATGTATTGAAAATTGTATAATGTTTAAGAAGAAGAAGAAATCTACTGCTTTAAAAACGACAGAATAGATGTCTGTTTGGTTTTCTTCTTTTCTGATAATAAGTTATTGTATAGCTGTAGAACTGTAACAATTCCTCTCTTAACGGTTAAGCTCCGCTCCCAGTTGGGGTCGTTGTTACATAAGATCTCACATCCCTTATTAATAAGACCAATAGTCTCTTGCATTGATTTCACTGTTAGTGTCCTAATCGGCACTGCAGAGTCAGCTTCTCTTTCCTCTGTGTCTTTGGACAGTTGTTCAGCTAGCTATGTCACCAACTTCTACATCATCAAGTCCTATTTCCTTTGCTATCTCTGTCACATTGTCTGTTATTGACGCAAGAGTAGTGTCGTGCTCTTGCGAATCCGAAACGCAGTCAGGACAAAGCTTACGCCAGACGCCATTCATACATGATTTTGACACTTCACTCCATGTCGCTGAAATGTTGGAGATCCCTTTCATGATGTCGTATTACTTCCAGTAATGTCTCAACGTTACATTATCGGACACTTGAATAGCCTCAGAAATTCCTTTGAGTGTTGTCCGTAAGTAATAAGCCTTGAAGGTGAATATTGCTCCTTGATCCATGGGTTGTAAAAGTGAGGTTATGTTTGGTGGAAGGAAGACAATCTTGACCTCTAGGCCTTTGGTATTCAAATCACTCAAATCTGGAGGGTGGCCAGGGGCATTGTCCAGCAGCAGCAAAACCTTGTGAGGAAATCTATTTTTCGTACAGAACTCATCACCCCCTCCAATCGTGATCTATGAGAGGCGCAAAAGTGAAGCGGCGTAATTCGAGTCCTGCCTGTACTATAATTTTAATATGCTGTATTTTCTCTCTTGTTATCAATAGCTGTTGACCTACCGACCTTTTAGAGGTGCTACCTGCCTTGGTTATATTTGGTGAGCTATGAAGCGAATTGCCGATTTAGAATAATGTATTGAAGAAAAGTATAATCGAACCCGATCAACTGCGAAAATAAGTACTATAACGAATTATAATATTCCATATATATTTCTGTAATTACATTTGTTTTTCGAGAATTTGATAGTGCCATCTAATGCCTACTATAATAACTATCCTTTTCGATGCTTTGTGGTCTCTGTGGCTTAGCCACTCTAAAAGTGCACTAAGGTTGTCTAAGCTCCGAAACGCTATAAATTCCATGACTTTGTCGGTAGGAGAAGTGTGAGGTAGATGTACAGTTTGCTCGTGGATAAAGCTTTAAAAAAATGTTACGGATATTTGAAGAAACTTAACGCATAGCAGGTAACAGTTGTATGATAGAATAACAAAGATTTTACGTATTTGATCTAACTACGTCTTAAAGTTTACCGTTAACAGTAAGGCTTATGACTTCTGGCGCTGACTTGTCCTGTGCCTTTTGTTTGAGTTTCAGGCAATATGGCGCCTGACCGTTTCGTTGTGGTAAGAATTTTTAAATTGGTTCTAGTGTGACTTCCGTAAAAAAGTCGCGAGTTGTTTCACTATAATACACTGTTTTGGAGTAACGCTTTCCATTTTTAAATCAGGTTCAATGAAATATGTTCCAACGTTCAGGTGGGTGATAATGTAAAATCATCGTATAGGAGTCGTCCACTATAATTTTTGTCTGCGTGTAATTCCGAGACGTTCTTCACGTGTAATATTGATTAAAGCTGCATTTTTGAGGGTGTGGAGTGCAGAGGTTTCGTATCAAATGTTTCAAGTCAGTTGGAATTCAGATTTAGTCTTTGTGACACGACAGGCGACAGTGTTTTGACTCTTACAAATTGAGACCTTTGTCGGGAATTGAACCCACAAGTGCTGACTTCTCAGTGGTCATCAGCTGTTTTTCATAGTTAGCACGTTTGCATACTCAAATGTGCAGGAATTTGCTCAGAAAAAGTATAGGAAACATGAAGTTTGATATGCTTCTGAAGTGTGGGTAGAAATTGAATAGAATAGAATCTGTTTACATTTCATTGATCCTTCTTAGGCCCAAGCCAATGATGTAGAACAGGTCATAGCACAAATACAATGCTTGTTTCTTATACAAATGTGAAGTACATAGTAATGACATTAATTTCCAACCAATCTTTGGTCCAGGTAAAATCTTCAGTGGAATAGGAATGAGACATGAGATACTATTTTGGTGTTAGCTAAAACTTCTCCTCATCGTGATTCAGAATTTTAATAGTGGGGAAGATTACTGACTAGCTTATTTCCAATATAGTAAACTCCTTTTCAATATTTACTGAGTTTCGTGTTTCGCTTATAAAGGTTATATCTGTATCTTGTACCGGGTCTACAATTTATGCTGTATGAATACTGGAAGCACTGACAGCATACAGATGTGATGTGGACGCCATGCTATTTTCGTTTCTACTACATCGACACTTTAACAAAGATACTGCGTGTTCTTTAAAGACTATAGAACATTTCAGGACCTGACAAGTGTTAACTGAGCATTCGACATTCTTCTTACCTGTGGAATAAGATTATGGAGAACTTTCTTCATTGTGGCTTTGCATCCTTTTCTTGTTGGTGGTACTTCAATATAAAATTCATGTGCCAAGTCTCCATCTTCATCAAAGAACATTGATCTAAAAAAAATGCAACACAATCACTTCTAATCCTTCTAATTTGAAATTTAGTCCACTTATGCATTCTGCTTGCTGGCCAGAATCATATCGCAGTAGAAGTACTGAACAATCCAATGGTATTATACAACTAGTTCAAAACCAGTATCATAGTATGCAACACAATACATTTCCTTTTCTTTGGCCAATAGCTACAAAGGATAGAAGAAAAAGCTGAGCATACTAAATAAATAAGCAAATGTTCAATGAAACTTATGAAGGTTATATCAGTATCGCGAACTTGTATTATGGATATCTTACTTTGTTTGAAATGTTTCTATGTTGTCCATCACAAATTATGATAATGAGTTCAAGAATTCAATGCCTAGTAGAACAATATTACATTTCTTAAACAATTCCCCACACGAGGCTCTCCTTTTAGTGTGTGCCATTATTATAATGATTTTCTCTTGAATGAGAAATACTTGTTTGCTATCTGCTGAGTTTTCCCAGAAAATAATTCCATATGACATGATCAAATGGAAGTAAGCAAATCTGACTGACTTTAAAAGTTTGTTTTCATGAGTGATGTGTCAATTGTCATAGCAAAGCATGCTGAGCTTAATTTAGAGATAATGTATTGAATATGTGTTTTCCATTTTAAGATATAGTCACTTTGTAGTCTAAATAATTTAGTTGCTATTATTTTATCCTTATACCATATACTTTGGATTAACACAATTTTTGTTGGTAGCTCAAAGTTTCGTAAAATTTGTTATATCAAAACTCAATGTGGGTTTATTGGCTTTAGTTAGTTTATTCAAGCTAGCAAATACACAAGTCATTCAAATTAGAAAACCATCAATTTCTGGATGTAAAATAATAATAATATTAGCATCATCTGCAAGCAGCAAGGGTTTAGACTTGGTTGGCAGAATCATTGATATAGATGAGGAAAAGTAGAGGACCATGTATTGAACCTTGAGCAACTCCATGTTTTATAATGCCCCAATTTGAATAGGTGCTGTTATTTGAATATGTTTTTTTTATTTCTTCTTATTGCCTTCTGTTATGAAGGTATGATTTACATACCACTGAGAAAATCTTTTATCAGTTATGAGAATTTCAGAAATCCAAATAGTTGACTTGTGGAGACATTGTTTTAGTTTAAGAGGTCACATACTCTCTTGTACATGACTTCCTCTGATATTTTTGAGAAAGCTGTTAGTAATGAAATTGGTAAGTACAATTTTTCAGTTCTATTATGTGGAAGTTTAACTTTTGACTGTTTAAATCATTCTGTAAAAAAATTCTTTTCATATACAATAAGGATTAAAGAATACAGCATATTTATGTCATTATGACTACTGAAGTTTGTACATAATTTAAGTGATTATAGGATGAATATGTAGAAACTGAAGCTTCAGTTGAAAGTGAACTGAAATAATTACATGAGCTTGTTGGATTTTGCAGGCTGAAGTAGGATGAACATGTCACAGTGCTCAAGCTAATTGTTCTTCTTATTTTTTTTATGATTCTCATTCATATTCTGATTGTTACAATAACAATATCAATTACAATAAAAATAATATCAATAATGATGAGCATAATGATAGGAATCTACTATAAAAATTTGTGATTCCTCGTTGTCGTCAAAAATGACGTCATCAACAATGTCAACGGATATTTGCTTACTCTGCATTGTTGTGTTCCACAACAATGCCTAGTACAACACAACAATGCCGAGTAAACAAGTAACGCTTCACAACAAAGGAATCAAAAACTATCAAGCCAGTCGCATTATCACTGCTCCAGATGCAGCATATCGCATTCTTGAATATTGACTTACAGTTGGCCTAAAAAATCAGAAAAGTGAAAGAAGACATTATCAAGTATTTGAAGTACCAACTCTAACAACTCCAACAAGGTAAACTGATACTCATTCGATATATTACGATTACGAAAACAATTATGAAAACTGACTTTATGATCGATTTTAAGACGAAGATTTGCAAGTGAGGGGTTCGTTGCGTTTTAAACACTTGACCCCCGAGGAACTCCGAAAGGAGCGCTCTGCTCTAGGAAGAATAAAAGCAGGAAGAAGAATAAGAGGAATAATAATATATGTATTAATACAAATGGGAAAGCATTAAAAATAATGCAGGATTAACAATAACAATGAGAGTGCCATTACAAATAAAAACATTGGGAAGAACAATGTCTTTCTTGCCTACTGATGTTGGAAAACAGGGCAGACACATGGTGCTCCTTGCTCACCCTACAGCATGAAGAAAAATTAAAGAGAGCATGGAAAGCTTATTAGGCATTGATTCAAATACATTTTAGGAATGAACACCGATCCGAACTGTTTGATTAGCTTCTTGAGGCTTATATGGAATTGGCATGTAATGCTGATTCCATGTCAATTCGTATGAGGTCTGTGGTTGAAATACAAAGATTTGGGATGTCTTGTTTAAAAAACATCCCTTATGGGGTAACATGGAAAGTGATATTTTTTTATAAGTCATTAGTATGTTTCTGATGTATTTGGTTTTGGAAATAAAGTCATTTGTCTGTAGTCAGGTTTTAACACAAAACATTTGAATCAGAATGGCACAGACAAATGAAAGAAGTACCTGCTTCCCTTGCGTTTCTAACCTTGATAATGTGAATGATAATAAATACTGATGGTTGCTTTTTGCTTGTTAACATATAGCTACTGGACTGTGTGCTTTTCTGATGCTCAACAGATATTCTTTTTCACATTCCGCGATCTGCATATTTCAGTATACATTTGCAGTTCCTCTTGGCTTGAGCTCCACGCAGAAGCTTTGAATCTTATATAGTTTCAGTATATAACAAGTGTACAATTTTAATGAGTAGGTCTATTTGTGCAAATACAACACACACATTATAAAAATATATTTAGACATTGCTGTACTCAATCTTTCAAACTTGATCTTCCCGTTAACATCAGTCCCACACCATACTGACTTGTTTATGAGGTAACGTGCGCAAGCAACCGAACTATAGCTTTCAGCTCCATTCTGATGTCAGAGGGTTTGAAAAGTCATTAACATTTATTCGTGTTTTTATTCAAATTAGGCAGACGTATTGGTGTCTTTGTGTAATAGACGTCTGTATATGTAATTGTAATTAATGGAAGGTAGAGGAAAGCTATGTATGGATAAATACAAGGTGGCTGTGAATGACTGGAATTTTGATGCCAACTGTACACGTGCATCACTTCCAGTTTGGGTTAGACACTTGATTTTTATTGTACAGAGTGTACAAAGATAGGAAATAAAACTCTTGTAGGCTGCATTGAACTTCGGCACAAAGAAAAGTAAATTGTTCAGAATGTATTGTAAATGAATTATATCATTCTTTCTATTAATGAATTCAGAATGAGTGTGTTAAAACTTGGAATGCCTAGTTGAAAAATGTTGCTAAGAGAGTATGTTCTCACGTTTGTGGGGTTGAACAAAGGTGATCAGTGAACTTGTCAGACCACCGTTTGTTGTGTGGTAAAAAGTAAAGTTTGTCCCACTATACGCCATGTAGGCGTTTGGGGTGAGAGGAGGTATAGCTCCTCTCTTCCTTGACCTCGGCACTAGATGGGGGTGAGTGAAAATATTGCTACATACTTTTTCACATATGTTGGGTTCTTGCATTTGCTGATGACAGTGCAGTAACTTTCCATCGTCATTGATCAGTGCATGTCAGTTATTACTCTGGATTGGAGAAAAGCCAGGTGTTACTTCCAAATTAAGGTACCTTGATGTCTTCTTATTCGTGTTACGTAATTTGTACTGATGTGAACATTCAAAAATTTTATGTTTGTAAGAAACCAACTCTGCCACGGTGGTCTAGCGGTCAGAACACTAGCCTTGTAAGCCTGGGGTCCCGGGTTCAATTCCCGGTGGTGCTCAAATTTATAACTTGTGTTGGGCAAGGCCGTGGTCTAGGCATCACGGAGTTTTCCTCCGGGGGCTTCCCCGGTTTCTCCGTGGCATCCCATTCACACACAGAAGAAGGCAATGGCAAACCACTTCTGGATCATCTGCCAAGAACGTATATGAACAGGTCCCAGTCCGAGAAAAGGATGGAAGGATCCTGTTCATATGGACCTGTCGTCAGACAGAACACTAAATAAATAAATAAGAAAAATAGGCTGATTAAGGCTGTAATGGTGGGGTGAATGTTGTGCAATGTGCAAGAAGCCAAATGCCACTTTACCTGATCAAATGCAGTCCTATATACATTTTTTACTTACAGACAATTCAGACACCGAAGAAGTGAATTAAGGCTGTTGTGAATTGCATGATTATTCCTGCACAATGAAGATCGACAGGAGCCGTTTAAAGAAGAGCACTTCTGAAGTGGTAAGTTTTCTTACATTATGATTGTGGTAGACTCCAAAAACCATTCAGTATTGTTCTCCAAAAGTACTGGATATAACACATTCGTGACCGTCAAACCCTCGTGTTCTTTTGTATGCACACCCATGTATAATGTTATTAAGGAAGAAGATTATTACTGCATACTGCAGTTTGTAGTTGACGCTTCGTGTCTGGGAGACCCTGATTTGTGGTCTACAGTGTAGTGATTTCTATTAGTCTCATTATGCAGAGAGTGTACCTTAAAGTAACCCACAAGTACTTCAGCCTAATTTCCACTCTGTGATTTATAATCGTCAAGATGCTGTCAGACATATGCAGTTGTTAAATTATTTAAATTATTATTCAAGAATTATCAGTAAGATTATGGCAAGTCTGCATATACATACATGTTTAATTTATAATTACAGATGTTGCATCAAAGTCTGTGTCTTGGTGTTGAAGAAAGTTACATAACGTAATTAATTTGTCAGTTCACTAATATTAAGTTGATATATGCACTGCGTTGTGTAATGACACATGAATGGATCATGGTGTGTAGTTGTAGTTGATAACCTTGTATTATATACCTGAAGCATGTGAGATTATTTTTGTTTTATGAAGGAACTGAAATATTTGGTTGGATTTTACCCTTCATTAAACTTCGCTTCACTGGTTATGTGCTATATTTAGGTTTGATTCTTCGTGGGTTAGTATACGAGTTTAATCAGTCACACGGAGAATACGCTGTTTCCAAATCTCCACCAGGTAGTGTGCAGCAGTAGAAAAAATGTTTTATCTCTCGCCGGAAAAATAATTGAACAAAACTTACATATTCATTTTCAGCCAGTGGAGTGCCAAGTGCTTATAGATAAACTTAGATCCTGCTCTCATAAAGAACTTTTAGAAGTATTAAAGGTAATAGACACATGGACGTTTGGAAAGTGTGAGCTTTACCACTGGATTGATATTCTGGATATGAGCGATGCTATTCTGGAGGAGGCTGCCACCCGGGTCGAGCCCTCCAGTTGGACTCTTGCTTGTGATCTACCTCAGAATAGTGAGGTAAGTACAAATAATGTTTATCTGTAAGGTCAACCTACCTTGACTGGTGAGATTTTAGGTTGTTGTGGCAATGGGTATGAACATGGCTTTCTTCTGGGATGTTGGTTAATAATGATCGATGTACAGTGAGAGGAGCTCAGTGCTTCTATAATAAGGGGGATATCACCCTGATCAGTTAGTGTTTACTGGACTAGTGGTCTAGCGGTTAGAACGCTGGCCTTGTAATCCTGGGGACTCGGGTTCGATTCCCGGCGGTGCCCGAATTTATAACTTGTGTTGGGCAAGGCCGTGGTCTAGGCAACACGGAGTTTTCCTCCGGGGGCTTCCCCGGTTTCTCCGTGGCATCCCGACAATTACTCCATTCACACAGAAGAAGGCAATGGCAAACCACTTCTGGATCATCTGCCAAGAACGTATATGAACAGGTCCCAGTCCGAGAAAAGGATGGAAGGATCCTGTTCATATGTACCTGTCGTCAGACAGAACACTGAAGAAGAAGACAGCGCTGCATCCTCTAAGACAAACATCTTCTGCCTCAGCTGCTTCTGCAACTTATACTCCCAATTATTTTTCAGCCTGGAAAAGCAGGATTTGCAAATTTAATTTATTTTGAAATTCTAGTATCTTGAGATATCATATAAACCAGTAATTTGATACATGAAAATGTTAGCTACTTTTCATGTCCTGTTTTAATGTCATCATGGAGGGGGATACAACACACTAGACAAACATCAAAATTTTCATCACTGTAATTCTCATTTTATATAATTGAAAATCTTGTTTTACTACTCTGTGGAATTTTAAATGTTTTCTGCATTCATCTGAGTGTTTTGAGAACAACTTTGTATTTGTGTTTTCAGGATAAGGAACTGTTGCTTTGGGTTCTCCATTTTACAACGCTTTTGATAGAGCATTCATTCTCTAGACATTTGTACAACTCTATGGAGCACCTGATCACACTGCTGTCATCTTGTGACATGAATGTAGTGCTGGGTGTTCTGAACTTGCTGTACATGTTCAGCAAGCGGAGCAACTTTATAACAAGGCTCAACAATGACAAAAGACAGGCCTTGCTAAGTAGACTGACACATCTGGCAGAGGTAAGATTCTGCCCCATTTCTTATACTACAAAATTAATACTGTGTACTTTTGGCTGTACATCCTTATTGGTAGCATTTTACATAAAAATATGCTGTAGAAGAAAAACCCTCTCTCCTCATTAGGGATCGAATCCCGGTTGTCCAGTCCACAGCCAGTCACTATACTGACTGAGCTATCCCAGCTGTTTCTTGTACATAGCCGAGCCAACTCTTTTCAGCCATCCATTTTCTTTACATGGTGAAGTCTTTGTTGCTCTGAATTCTTTTAACAAATTTTGGATTCCGTCTTTAAAAATTCAATTTTCGTCTCCGATTGTTTCCCCCCCAAAACTAAAAAATGTCATATCCATTGTTTGAATTTTTTTCTTTGTAAGAGTTTATGTTTTTGCATTAAATATTAGAATTTGTTTAAAATATACCAACAACATATTGGTATTATATACAATTTGCTATGACTAAATCTCTACCCTCTTAATTGCTGATCTGATTTAATTATATTTGAAAATTTCTGCACTTAAATGATAATTGGCATTCCTTTTCCGTAGGAAAATGTATAACTGGTTCTTCAGTGCTGCCACCCTTGACCTGTACCCCCACTAAATCTGAGATATATGTGCCAATTCTTTTGCTAGCTGTCACACTGGTGACAGGAACTTTCTTTATAAAGTGTTAAAATGAGTATCGGCTTATGATCTGGACATATTTATTTTTCCATTCTAGAGTTGGGGCGGCAAGGAAAATGGATTTGGTTTAGCAGACTGCTGCAAGGACGTGTCTGTTGCGGTGAGTTTAAGAAGCAGTGAATGGTCTTATGTTTCTTAATATCAATGTTGCTTGCTGCATGGTTATTAATTTCAGTGGTGTATGTTCACAATTAGTGAAATGTGCATTTCATAAGAAATAATATTCTTGAAGCATAGAATTTTTTTATTGTCTGTGGTTAAGAACAAAAAAAGAAAGAAAGGTGTGACCTATACACCATGTAGGCACTTGGGGGGAGCGGAGGTATAGCTGCTCCTCTTCCTTAACCTCAGCACTAGAAGGGGTAAGTGGCCAGTGTCTTGCCTCATCCACGCTTTACCCCCAGGAAAGGAACCTGGTACCCATTTGATAGGAGGCTAATTTAAGGTACTGTCCTCACATTTGTCTGGAGGGACTAAGGAGAATTAGAAAAAAATTCAGTCAGGATAGCTGGTCTCTAGGCCGAGATTTGAACCTGAAACTTTCTGAATATGAAACAGGAATGTTAATCACTCAACTACGATGTTAAAATTATGGATTTGTACCTGTAGTAAATGGGGTATCATCGCCAATGAAATGTTCAAAATCGCAATGATCACATTTGGAAAACCGTATGTGTTCAATCTCGTTTCGTACCGAATTGTTTTGGCCTTTGTTAGGTAGAACGGTTTTGTGAAACAGTAATTTTTCTATTTGTGTTTGTAGCATTTTCCACCAAGTTCAACTACATTGCATTTTGAGTATTACTCAGAAGTACCAGAAAGTATGTCAGTTTCTGGTAAAGGAAAGTACTCGAATCTGATAACTAGCATCCACATAGAGAATGTGGACAAGATGAACAAAACCCCTGCAGCTATCATGAATGAACTACTTGAGCAGTACAATGTTCCTG